TCACAAAAGAGCGATTAAGTTTTAATACAATACACAAAATTGTGGCAGTTAAACAATGGCGGAGGAGAATAATGATGTAGATTAGGTAGGTACAGGCATTATTAGAGGAATTACGCTAGACATATTACGGCGGTACGTTAATAAATTGTGATTACAGACTCGCGAAGTCGCTATACCTGACTCACAGGATTTTCCACTCACAATATTTCAAGCCAGCTGACGCTTAGAACGCCTGAAAAATTACTGCCCAATAAAACTATAGCCAACTGTTGATTGCTAAAGTAAATTTCGTCTCTCACGTAGGAACACTCGACGAAATGGCACTCCTGATGAAATTGCTTGACCATTCAATTCAGGAAAGTCAATAGAAAGAAAAAGCAGGATTTAGGTATATCGGGTTACAGCCAGATCTTAATAGCTGTTATTAAGTTTATTTAATTCTCTATTGTATTATATTCAGATTATTTTTATTCTAAAACATTTAAATAAAATGGCTGTGGGGTTTTGATTATTGTATCAATTATAAAAACCTGTTGTGACACATTTTATTTGCATGTGACTTACTCAAAAAATAACTATGAATAGCAAGATCACGATCACGCTACACCTGTATCACGAATGCACTACGTGCAATCAAAAATCTATTCTTTGAAACAGTTTTAAAGTCCCATTTACTGTTTCCGAACTACGCGAGGGGACAACCCGAGTTAGGATTGCCGTTTAGTATTCCACTCACGAACAGAAAGAGATGGTGCTATCACGACACAGCCAGACAGAAAAGTGGAGATGATTTGAGTGTACTTTGGAATCGATAGTCTAAGAGCATTCATAATGCTTCTGATATCCTCGTGCCATGCGTGGATTTTGCGAGATGAATTGTTTATGGGTTCACAGCGCAGGGAATTCTCATGTCTCTGAAAAGGGTCGGCGAACCAGACAAATTACTAAGCGAGAATTTGCTCCCCTCAGCTCTGTCAAATCGACGCGCAATGTTCAGCCTAATCGCATTATTTGCAGGATTTACGTCGGGTTGAACATTCGGACGGTTTAAAATTGGTAAAAGGGACTGGAACGTGCTCTAATTGAGCACAAATTGCACCTTTATGAATCTCAAACTAGATTTCCGTCGGCTATGCAAATGTACTATAGTTTGGAACGCTTTGTAGTCGGCCGGAGTGGATGTAACGTGAATAATTTACGTCACTGCATTGCAAAAGCTTTTAAATGTCTTTTTCAATTGTGTTGGAGTGCCCGGTATGTGTAGATGCTATCACAGACGCGTTTACTAAGATTGTGTATGTCTACTTCTTTGTTCTTTTACGTAAGCTTTATCAAACACGTAATTACTTGTCCCAACACTGCACTTAATCACATGGTGAATCCATCTTGAGCAGATGCGGTACGTTTTCCTCAATGGAAGGGGAGTTTAATAACTGAAAACCTTTGTGTCGAGGTTCAAATTCCCCTTGATTTAGGAGCAACTCGTGGAGATTGGTGAGGCAAACATGGCCATCTAAATTATAGGGGAGTGTATTGGTGGCATACTAGATGAGCACTATCGGCCATTTCACGGTGGCACGTGACATGCATGCGGAATGCTCTACTAAATCTTTCTCTGCAACGGACAGAATTTTATGGACGATGACACATATTTGTTTGAATACGGCAGCTGCATATCAATTTGCTTTCAGCTTACGCAAGTTATGCAAATATGTTGGCCGATAAGTTTGTATTCTGGTTCTATTTTGTAGAGACATGGCAACAAATATTATTCGACCTTCAAGGTTAAATCTGGAACACTCGACTAATTCATAGTAATTTGGAACTCCTTATATCAAAAGCCTTAACGTTGATTGTTAACATCGTTTGAAAATCGCTAAACAAAGGAGCGCGATGTGGGTGTCGCAGAGAGCTCTAACCAATTTAATTAGATCCACATCTCCGCCCTTGATTATACAGTGTGTTTCGAGCATAAGGGACGTTAACTACACGCCCGAGGAATTCCGAGTTCTAATATAATTGGTCGTGAGTAAATATTATATCAGCCCGGGGCTACGATGGATCAGTGCGCAGTAACGGACGGGTTTCTTTGTCTTCGTTTTGCGTTAAATGTTAATATTCTCCCTTTGTTTGTTGCCCTGCTAACTTCAACATGGGCCTTTGCATTAACATTTGGTTTAATGAAAATGTTTAGAGAGAAGGGCTCGTAATAACCTTGCTTCGTTGAATTCTCTGTTATTAATCTTGTACCTAAACTGGAGTTGGATTTAAAGAATGTATTGTCCTATTTTGGAGTAATTTAATAATAGCTCAATATTGATATNTATTATTTATACATTCTGTATTGTCCTATTTTGGAGTAATTTAATAATAGCTCAATATTGATATACCGATATCGAAGCTACGTAGGTACGTTAAAATATGGACTTAAATAATATCTTATACCTAACAACATCGACATTTATTAGAATACTTATTAATCCCTAGCACTAACTAGACCGTTTTAAGTACAACGATAATCTGAAAATTATAATAATTAATTTGAAGTTGAACATGTAATTAGTCATTCAAGAAGACTAAGTAATTTCATCCAGGGAGATTGATGTCGAGTATCTTCGAGACCTTGGGACGACCTATCCTTGAGATTCAGTCTGGCGTCTAAAGGTTAACAGATATTATTATACTACTACACAATACTCGAGATTTGGCAATCTGAACAAAGTGTTTATACTTTAAAAGGTTAAGGAGACAATAAATGTATAAAAAGACTAGAATTGTGAAAAGAAGAAATTCGAGTAGGTATGAATTTACACCCAAAAATATATTTCAAATATTTTTGTAAACTCTATTCATGGAATATTAAATTAACAATTAAGACGCGTACCTACGAGTATACCACGCTAGACTATCGAGCTTAACCTTTAACCGACGACGTGATTTTTTTGTCACGCCGTCTGCGACGTGCGGTCTGTGGGACCGCTATACTGTTTACTCATAAAGTAATATTTTTTTGTATAAAAGTATATTGGTTTTATATTTTTTGAGAACATTATAGTATTACAAATAAACATACGTATAATTTGCGACGAATCAATGTATATTTTTTATTTAAATATGGCTAAAACTTTTTTGATCCTTAATTTAATTGAAATTACACTAGAGCTCAATAATACCTATATAACTTGTAAATTTTAATCAAAGCAAGAAAAACTATACTCCTTCCTAAATATAGTGAACATAATGAATGAAATAAAAATAAATGACACGTAAATTACATGCACAAAAAAAATTTATGTAGGGTAAACATCAGGCAAAATCAGGACATTTTTTTTTACCCCATGCCAAGCATTTTCGGAATGCATAGGTAACACCTGTAAGATTATTTTGTTTTCAATTTAGATGGACTAAAATGTACGTCTTTTTTGCAGCTGGTGCAATGACATCAGGCTGATTTGGCATGTCAGAGCCTAGAATACATGTCACTGTTTTCTTTACCACCCGTTTCGCGGTATTTTTTTACAGACTACCATCTTTTACATAATATTATGTTCAAATATCAATATATCATTAGGAAATGTCTTTTCCTAGGTTGTGGTGGCCCAGGATCCATCATTTTTACGAAAAATTAGTCGTCTAAAACAAAAACGCCAGTTTCAGTATGGTACAAAAATGTCACGTAGTCTGCGACGTACGGTCCCACAGACCGCTGTTGAACTTTAAATCGAATTATCTTATTAAAACTGCCCTCGTCGATGTAACCACTACCTGTAATGGCGTTTGGGCAACTAAACTCGAAGGTACTGAGACGCTCGGGACACGGGAGTAAGTAGAACATTGCAATCCAGAAATTTCAAAAACCGGAGCGGTCTGTGAGACCGCACCTCGTCGGTTAAAGGTTAAAGCGAAAACAGTTTAAAAACAAAGTAGGCGAGTAAATTAGTCTACTCATGTTTAATGGACTAAAACTAAAAGCTAATTATCTCCTACACTTGTAACTCGGGCGAGACTAAATTAGAATTTCACGAGGAGTTTTCAGCCAACATAAACGTGCTCGTATATGTGTTCCCGAACGTTGTGTTCCGCTTGCGTCCAACTCAAACATCCCCCGATTAACATTAGTTTAAAACAATGCCGAGGGAGCAAAACTAAGTTCTTAGCACGCCGTTGTTTCTATTCCAATATTCAAATGAGTTCACTGGTGCAGAAACTCGACCGTTTAGAACTGGCTTCTGGCAAACGGTAACTTGAATTACTACTTTGCGAGGTTAAAGACAAAATATCTGCATTCCGAACCATTCTTCAAAACAAACCAGTCCCAATTGCCTTTGATGTAAATTAATTTACATAGTTATAAATTATATCCGGTTCAGTGTTTTCTTAACAGGTTTGCGTGTGCCCATTTTAGAAACGACTGGCATAAATTAATATCACGGATTTAATATTGATTCATTTCGTTTCGTTCCCGTTTGTGTAATACCGAGGCATATATTAGAATAATATTATTTCTTAGAACTGTGCGGCGTTTCTAGTTATATTCATGCAGGACAAGAATAAAGTTGGTTATTAGTCATTAAATCCATATTTAGACGAACCGCGGGGAGGATGGCTCAGGATAAAGTGGGAGGATGCGTCATCAGGCGCCAGCAACCTGTCGCGACTCGTTCACCGAAATAACCTGCGGGACGATGGGCGAAACTAACATGCGCGCATACATTAGTTAAACATTTGCATTCAATAGAAACGGAACCAAAGAAAACGTTCCGAGTTCAACAAAAACAAAAAGACAAAGCAATGTCAAGTCAACTTTAGCGAAGAATGGTTTTTCATAAAAGAATTTCGTAAACCACTCATTTGAAGTGGACTTAATTATACTTATACGAGTTGTATACGCTGACCTATTTTAGCGTGTAGGTGTTTATATTAGTTTTGAATTGCTTACCTCTAAAGGCAATGTTGAGAACAATTTAAATGTAAATTGAATACTTAATAGCCGAACTCACTTGAAGGTTGGAGCGCGATCTCCTCGGCATCACGCCCACGACCTCTCCTCTCATTATGGACTCGATAACTGTAAAACAAACCGAACCATTAGTAAACAACACAAACTTTGGCATGATAGATTGAAGTTTAATCAAGTAGGTACTGTTAATATACTTTCGAGACAGAACTTTGGCGACCTTAAAATGAACAAAGGGTCAATTTGTTAAGCTCTAAGTGAACGAAAACAGAATTTGAAATGAATCTGCGCAGATATTTCAAGGTTATCTTGGAACTTGGTTGAATCTTCAATTAGGCTTTGAATTGCGATACTTGTAACTGTTAAGCAGAATGTTTCAATTAAGTAATATCTTATTAACGACCGTTGCATGTATGAAGTAACTAAAGGACTGTTCTTTACACCTGCTTCCTAAGGCTTCTCAATCCAATTGTCTTGCAAAGGAGGTAATACACGCAGTGTACGTACAAGTTACATTATTTCAATGAGTAGATTAGTCATCTTGCATAGTAAATTGTTACAAAGCTACAACATGCTAGTTATAAGCAGGAAATTGAGTTTGTTCTATAAAAAGTTTTATTAGACCCTAATTAGCTTTATACAACCGTAGAGCATAACTGATGATGCCATGCTTCTCCAAAAAAAGCCAATGAACGGAGTGACTGTGATAATAATAGATCTTGTAATAAATGTTCGCGTTACTAACATCCAGCAGATTAATGATAGTGTTTGAGATGCATGTGTGAGTGATATAATATATTACTTGCGCAATACAATCACGGCGCATTGTCTGACTCCTCAATCAACTGTTTACAATTAGATGTTGTAAACGTATTGATATAATGGAGAGTAGATAGAATACACAGGTATTTATATACCTTGGGGTTTTGTATGTTGTAATTCTTTAACTGTTCTGACAACAGTAACTGTATTTTAGTATAGAGCACTCAAACAAATTTGGGGAAGTTAAAAATTTAGAAATTTTTAAATAAAAGTGTTGTCTTCTATCATAAAATGTACGAAACTTCTCCTATACAATGTTGGTAGGAATTTATTAAACACTAAAAACGCATCTCTATAGAACGTTTTACTCGTAGTTTTAAATCAAAGTCGTTAAAACGACATAAATAATGTCGCTAACAATAGTTACGTTGACAGTTATAGCGATGAGGAAGTGTCATCTAATATTATTACGACACGAACTATTAATAATTCAATTTATGTACTTGTTCTATTCATAACGGATACAGGTTTTAGACGAACTTGTACGTACACTGATGAGACATCAAGGTTAGCAAAAGTGACTCTTATTCAGCAAGGTTTAAGAGAGGTCAACATTTCTGTTGTAGTAATTGTGTGTGTGTCTATTGTACAACATGATGGGCTATAAAACAATTTACAATACACCTTGACTCTACGAGCTACGAGTATAATGTGTTTAGAATGAATGAATGGCAATCTTGCAGCACGTGCCACCAATGGTTTGCCTCAAAACTAAGTTATTTTATCCAAAACTTCTTCACGTGTAACTTTCACTTCGTCTCAGTTGAAAAATTCGAAGCAACGTCAAACACTGACGATGTGAACCCACAATAGAACTCTCAGCTCATTTTTACATCGACATTGGTATTAAAAAATTACAATCAATTGTTCTATCTATATCATGTTGTTACTGGCACAATTAATAAGCCCATTGTTCTCGGATGAGCGATCCCAGATAGCAACAGAAGAAGTGCTCGTTACATAACAAGTATTGTTTTTGATACGAGTACAGTTATCGTAATTAATCACAATGCCGTGTTTAATCCTACGCACGTCATGGATATTGTATTGTATGAACATTTTGTGATGACTTGTGAAAATATTGTTTTGTAATTTATGTTTCCAGTTGATCTAATTCACAATGGTACTCGTAAGTTAGCTACAAATGCATTGTGTATCCGAGTGCACAAAAACAGAAAGGACGTAGAATTTAATTTCAAAGTAAATAGGTATTTAACTTTCAAAACGAGATGTGTTTTGCTTTACAGTCAAGAACATATTTCGTGCGATTATGTAAGAAGAACAAACGATTTCCACGAAAGGCTTTGTTGGGTTTCCAACTATTTAAGAACCTATTTCCATCATAATTGTGTACTAGGAATATGAAACATGTAAGGAAGGTCAGGGTTTCTTTGTTGACGTTAATACGTCAACAAAGAAAGCTACTTATTAAGCTACAATTTCATAAATATGACACCATTTTCTTACGCAGTTCTAAGGAAGAATCGTTATGAAAAGAATAAATCTACTAGGTAGCTTCATGATTAACAAACACCACAGTATATATATTCTACTGTGCAAACACCATCATATCCTAAGCGCTTCAGCCGTTCACAGTAGCAAAGCAATAAATATATCAGTATTTATTACCTCCGTCTCCGAGCAGCCTCATCTGCACGAGGGCCGGGTCCTCGCTGTGCTCCTCCAGCACCGTGTCATCCGTCACTGTCAGCTCCTGGAGCAAATCACTTTGTTACACGATGTCTAACCGACTCTACTCGTCTCTCTCAAACACAACCATATATCCACGTGCTTAAGAGTGACAGCAGAGGCGAAAATATGGAAATCGAGGTGCGGGATACACCCGTTTGTTACTCGACACAGCAACAACAATCCTGGGGTGTAATTAGATTATGTTGATGTTTGAAATGAGGTACGCGTCACATTAAGTGGAACGGTTGCTCTGCAATAGTAGCTCTTAGTACAAAAGCTCTTATTTCGCATGGATGAAGGACAGTGTCAAGGTCAGAATTTTATGATTATTTGCATAGCAATTTAACAAAAGTATATGTAGTATACAGTCAGCCTTGACGTCATACCTATTTCAAAAATATATGGTACCTAAGGGGCCGTCCATAAATTACGTCATCGATTTTTTCAGATTTTAGACCCCCCCNTCTGTCTGTCTGTCTGTCTGTCTGTCTGTCTGTCTGTCTGTCTGTCTGTCTGTCTGTCTGTCTGTCTGTCTGTCTGTTACGCTTTCCCGCTTAAACCTCGCAACCGATTTTGATGAAATTTGGCATAGAGATAGTTTGAGTCCCGGGAAAGAACATAGGATAGTTTTTATCCCTGTTTTTGAAACAGGGACGCGCGCGATAAAGTTTTTCTGTGACAGACAAAATTCCACGCGGGCGAAGCCGCGGGCGGAAAGCTAGTATTTCATAAATATGACACCTTTTCTTACGCAGTTCTAAGGAAGAATCGTTATGAAAAGAATAAATCTACTAGGTAGCTTCATGATTAACAAACACCACCATATCCTAAGCGCTTCAGCCGTTCACAGTAGCAAAGCAATAAATATATCAGTATTTATTACCTCCGTCTCCGAGCAGCCTCATCTGCACGAGGGCCGGGTCCTCGCTGTGCTCCTCCAGCACCGTGTCATCCGTCACTGTCAGCTCCTGGAGCAAATCACTTTGTTACACGATGTCTAACCGACTCTACCCGTCTCTCTCAAACACAACCTTATATCCACGTGCTTAAGAGTGACAGAGGCGAAAATATGGAAATCGAGGTGCGGGATACACCCGTTTGTTACTCGACACAGCAACAACAATCCTGGGGTGTAATTAGATTATGTTGATGTTTGAAATGAGGTACGCGTCACATTAAGTGGAACGGTTGCTCTGCAATAGTAGCTCTTAGGACAAAAGCTCATATTTTTCATGGATGAAGGACAGTGTCAAGGTCAAAATTTTAAGATTATTTGCATAGCATCACAGACAATTATTTAACAACAGTATAGTATACAGTCAGCCTTGACGTCATACCTATTCCAAAAATAAATGGTACCTGAGTAGACTAACATCAATTTGATAGCCTATAATAAAAGGATATTTTATACTTACTTGATTGGTGGTGATATGGTGAAGTTATGTATGTAGGTTAGGCACATTTATGTAATTACTAGGTTCTGTAAATATTTATATCCACTGACTATTTTGTGTCAAAGCTATAATTCATGGCCCTTTTCATTATTCACGAAGCAAACCAAAACATAAGGTAACAGTCAATTATTCTGGATCATATTTATTATTTAGGGTTACCGAAAACATGTTATACCCCGTAAATAATATTCTTTGCCCAAATTTATTTCCTAACAATCTATTCTTGAACAAACATACACACGCTGGCAGGTGTTTCATATTCGTAAATAAACAGGATTCCATGAATTCCCATCCAAAGTTTCCCACGGCCGGCTTTCAGCATCAATCTGTACCTGTTTTATATTACTTTCGGAAAGAAAACAGGATACATGCTTCTATTTTCCATACGCATCAACATTTTTCTTATAATGATTTATACGCAATAAACACGGGGTGCTGAAAATTGCTGTCTGAATCAAACTTTGCGAGTTTGTTTTCTCGACATTCCTTTGAAACTAAAGACAATATTGTTGTTTAGAGTAATAACTTTAATAAGATAGCAGATTAGATTTTCAAAAGCAACTTCATTATAGTTTATAAGGAAAAACTAAATGAAAACACAGAAACTTGGGCATCCTTCTAAACTAACGGAAAATTCCGTTTAATGTAGTTTTACACATTTATTCTTGGTTCTACCTCAATATCATGTTATAACGCTGATTACTTATTAAAATATTCCAATTATGTTATAGGTACGTAATTTAATAGCATGTTCACTTATATCCTTAATCTCTTCTTGATTAGAACCAGTTAATGATGTTGTTCTGAAATTAATTCAGTAATAATTGATTGACTTAGACTACAATTTAACAATTGATTAAATCGGCACTCCGCATCAATTAAACAAAATTTTAACTCAACCCCAATTACAAAGATTGCTCACAACAGCTGTGCTGCAACATTTTAAAAAAATGGGATCCATAAAAAATAAGTGTAAACAATTTGTTCCTACTTCCCCATTGATGAAAAAAGGCCTGTTAAAAGAGGCGCATCAACAGAAATAACAAATTACTCTTTGGTGTTCACTCGATAAACATGTCTTCGTGCCAAAAAGACCGAGTTGGGAAACAAAGTTGCAAGAAACAAAGCGGGAACTCTAAGAAAGTTGCGGGAACGAGGGGGACACAGGGAGGTTACTCAAAACTTTGACGTCTCGGACGCCAGTAATAGGAACGAAGTTTTGCAGTCGCTAATTCTCAGTATAAATTTGTTTAACGTCTCAACTTTTTAACTGTAATTACTTAGCAAACTTCCAGATAGATTGAAGCGTACTGCTTACCTAACTCCGATAAAGTGAGGAGCTTTTCGGCCGATAGAAATTACTGTTATTGTTTGTCTAAGATTTGTCTGCAAATAAAACACGACAATATTCTGTTCCATTTATAAGTAAATGATAAAGGTACTTAATCGAAAGAAATACCAAAAATTTAATGAAATATTCCCCTGAGTTAAACTTAATCTTAAAACATTAATCTTAAAACTCCAACACCACTCTCTTTCAAAAATGCAAGTTCTGACTGCTTTTGGCATTTGAGTTTGCCAAGTTCAGAAGAGCGTGAATGGAATAACTTTGCATAAAAATACCGACAGCCAAAACAGATCCTTTCAAAAGATCCTATCACGGTTCCTTTATTGTGATACATACTAGAACATAACAACTCGTCGTCAAAGGTGATGAAAGAAAAACAATAAACTGTTTCAATAACGCAAAACAACAAAGTTTGTTTAGAGAAGTTAGTAAAGGGTGGAAGAGGGTGGCCGTCGCCCGGGCAACTCCCACCAGACATTACCGGGGCTACGAGTTTGCCGATATTAATATTATTAGCAACTTGATGTAGGGAATTCGTGGTAATCAATTACATATTGGAAAGAACCGGCGAAAGTTGGAAGCGATGTGAATATACAACAGACAGGTGCTCCGACATCTAATTTTATTATATCTACGGTAATAGGAAAAAGTAATAAATATTAATAGCTACCGACGAAGTTGATCTGCAATTTTCGTATGGATATTAATCACAGTATCTTAATAAAGGGTCGTTTGCAATTAAACGCTAAAGGTACGAGCCCGGTCCGGTCCCATAATACATAAATCGAATGAGCCATTCCCCTTTTTAGGGGGCAATTAATAAAATCGAAGACAGGTGGAAAGTTCAGCATTCCGTTTTGGCATTTAAGGCGAGCGACAGGCTGTTCCACGCTTAACAAGTTTCCATGTTGGCTCGGGCGCGACCGGGCGCTCCGGCGGATTGCTCGCACATGCCCTTATAAATCCCCTTCGTTACCGCGTCGGATGCCATTGCGTTCAATACACCAAACAGGTTTACAGAACTTCCCGCTTCGGAATGATATGGCAATACCTTTACTGTTATTTGTGCACGCCTCGCCTCAGCTCACCTGCTATAGCAATAAGTTTAAACAAGACTTGATACTGTCGACGGAAACTAATATGGACCATAAATAAACTCGATGATATGATAGTTAATAACGGGCCGTCATAAAACGTTAATGTTATTCACCGGGGCAAAAACGTTTCCTCGCTGAGAAGATTGAAGTTGCGAGGTTCATTTCGTAAGCCTCTAGCATTACATGCGAGTGGGCGTACAAGAATGATGAATTTACGGAAACCTTAACTCGGACGAGCTAACTGATAGGGCTCACTCGATGTGAAATGCGCCGTGAAATATTAAATTGCGCATCAAGAGCTAACCGACACCAAAATGGTTTTTATTAACACTTTTAACACGTATCTGTGACACTTTAGGACCGGATCGATAACTGCCCGTTGCGGCACATCGTAAGTGGACAGATTGATAAAATTCATGAAGCTCGTTCGTGCCATATTTTACCGATAATGATTGCGAACGTTCGTCATAAATTATAGTTTCCACACAGTTATTTAAAACTCTATAAAAATTTGCAATGTTTTACTGATTCACAAATTATGGCCAGATGGATTAATAAATCTTCCATACTACTGATTTATTACAATAAAGCTCTAGATGTGTACATTGAACTGAAAATAGATGGTCTTATAGGCAATCAGTGAAATCCGAATATATGAGGACCATTCCCGTTTTTCTCGTGAATGACGTAAGAAGAGACTAGGGGAGAAATACGCGAAAATCAGGCCTCCCCAACCCATCTAATGAGCGTGGGGGAGTGTAAGCCAAATTATCTGCCCCTGGAAAATTTAGAGACGGTTATCCTCCGACAGTGGAAACTAAATGACTGATAGTTACCCCAGTATGCTCGTTGACTCCGACAATGACGGCGGTGTACCACTGGGTGGCGCCAGCAACGCGGTAGACCTGCGCTCGGCAACCGCCCAGCACGGAAGGCGTTGTGGTCAGGATTCGCTGGCCATCCTGCATGGTGCTTATTGACTGGTGGAGGCGTCATGGCCCTGATACTCACCCCAGTGTGCTCGTTGACTCCGACAATGACGGCGGTGTACCACTGGGTGGCTCCAGCAACGCGGTAGACCTGCGCTCGACAGCCGCCCAGCACGGAAGGCGTTGTGGTCAGGATTCGCTTGGCCATCCTGCATGGTGCTCTATTGACTGGTGGAGGCGTCATGGCCCTGATACTCACCCCAGTGTGCTCGTTGACTCCGACAATGACGGCGGTGTACCACTGGGTGGCTCCAGCAACGCGGTAGACCTGCGCTCGGCAGCCGCCCAGCACGGAAGGCGTTGTGGTCAGGATCCGCTGGCCATCTTGCGTGGTGCGCCACTCCGCTGCCTCACTGGCTACGGCGGCGATCGTGGTCGCGTCCACACCAGCCTCGGAACCCGCCAGTCTTGCATCCCAGTCCTGAATAGTAAACAAAAAGGATATTAAGTAAATGTTACTTTAAATGGAAAATCCGGACAAGGGTTTTTACAGGAAGAGGTTTAACTGTCTCTAGAGTTCCTTAAAAAAAGGTTACTGAAATTACTAGATATGTGAGTATTTATTTTTATTATTTTCCTAATCTTTTTCCTTTTGGGTGTAGAAGAACTAAGCTAAATTAGATTACTTAAGTGAAAAACAAAAAAATATGAGATAGCCTAGTTAGCTAGCACAAACAAATCAGAGATCTCATTTTCAGTAACCTTAAAACGGGGTGGACGACGTTATTTTATCCTGAAAAAAGTAGGCACTAAGCAATGAAGTTATTGTAAGCGAGTATACATAAATAAATCTATTATGTATTCCTAAAAGAATTCGTAATCAGCATACAATCCTTATAAAATGGAGGACAAAACCTCGTTTCCTCGTTAAATGATGATTTTCTTACACGTGTTTACTCTTAATTTATTTTCATCCAGAAATGTGCCCCATTTTTAAAAGAAACGCGTCTACATCCAGAATTCAAGTGAGTAGCTTAGATGAAAGAAAATAAGCCTGAACGTTAATAGGTTTCAGATGAATAAATTACTGAAACTAACAAATATTCCATCGGGTGCAGATCACCCGATACCAATTTGACCTATCAATTCGTAATAAGATAAGAAAATCCTATGAATAAAATTATTAGGCCAAGCGTAATGTTGCTGTTTGAGACGAGATTAGATAAGACATACTCATCTTGGTCGCTTTGTTTACTATACAGAAGCATACCTAACCTAATACGGCATTGATTTATTTACGCTCGTTGCCCTACGATTTATGTAAATGCGCTGCGACAGTGTAACATAATTCAATCAAGTGGGTACTATCCATAAATAGCGCAATTAAATCGCTCGATCGCCAGTTTTACGACCTCGTATCCTATGTAAACACTATCGCCCACATTATGAAACACCTCCACAAATCAACATTAGTGCTAGGCGCGTATATCGTGTTATGTGTAGCAACTAGCAATAAGTCAGCGTATGCAGATGTGGTGCGGTGGGTGCCTTCACAGGCCCAGTGCACACGTATGCACTAGTATTTATGTCAATGTTACAGGCCGCACACAGGGCCGCGCACCCACACCTGAGCCGAGTGCATACGAGCCGGCGACAGACGTATCCGGTGCGTTGAACCCGCCACCTCCCACCGTCCCCCTCGCGGTCTCACTCTATGTACGAACTATATCCGCCTGTTTGCTAACTAATGCTATTGGACGATTCAGGGTCAGCTCTGTTTGAACAAATGGTTCGCGGAGAATAACGTTTTAACGAGAAATCACATTGACAATACAATCCGAACAAGCCACTGCGGATTCTGTTGTTATTTTGTTTGTCTGCAAATATTTTACTTGAGATAAACGTTTGGTAGAGCAACTAAATAAAACAAGTTGATTCGTTTCTTTTATTTGACTTGCTATTGATCTTTCTGCCTATACATAATTTAATGTTTCCAACCCATGCCTACTTTAGTTTATTGCCTAACATTTATATAACTTCCACAAAGGGCTTGTTACAGCGAAATGCTTTCTATGTGTTCACTCAATATAACGGTACACAACAGGAACTAATAATATAAAGCCAAGAATGGCTCAATAAGATTATTCTGGGTGATAATTAAGACAAAGCACTCTCATGCCTTTAAAATGATTCACTCCGACTTTCCGCTAAGAGGAGTAACGTAATCAAACTATGGTTCTATCTACTAAAGTATTTGTTATTCTTAATTATTTGTTGTACCATACCACATTTTCATTTGTAATGTAATCACTAAGCTTTTAGAGCTCACATACACGCCTCAGTGAAGTGCTACACACACTCGACATCACTTTACATTCTCTACCAAGCCCAGTCGTGTCTAATGTCTTTCTAGCTAGTGTACAGAGCTCGGGGGTGCTCTAGTACGTTCAAATACTGCTGTATTTTTTAGACTTAGCTTTGTAGAACACGAACAAAGGAAACGGCAACAATTCAGGTTTTCAGAACTTGGCTCGAATAGCTGACGGTAATTGTTCTAAACAAGTGATCACATTCACAAAGAGTTAAGTGTGGAGTAAAGCATGTGACTCAAACAATTTCTAGTACACTAAATTGCACTAAGTATCACGTATAACAAACAAAATCCTTCCAACCTCACAGCGATCAATTTAGTAAATTATCATACCCGACTTCTTTTGTCACAAAAAAAATCATTGAAAGGTGAGTGTACCGCTATTATAAGGGGACAGGTGGTCACAATGAACCGGAAAAGTAAACAAATACACAAAAAACGGTATCATCCTTTTTATGCAAAAGCTATAAACGGAAGCTTAGTTTAATAACAATTCCACATCTTGCTTCTAATGTAGCGTTTGTATTTGTAAATCGTTACAAGTTAATTCGTTTCCAAGATTAGCGCGGCGCATCACTGTTATGAGTGGCATTTGTTACCGGTCACGCTCCGGCGCGTCTCTACCTCAACCCAGTGAGTCAGCCATTACGCAACTCCAACTGTTTGTTTGTAGGTATTCGTATACTCTATTTGGTGAGATTACGAGTGATTAATAAGAGGCCGTGGCCCGCACTCCAGCGGGCGGCTTACCGGATTATAGCGGGACTGTTTAGACGCCATTGGAGCTATTATTCAACTTGCTGTCATTGTTTTGCTTTGGCTCTCTCTAATAAAATCAACCGTATGTCGTCTATTCGCTTTGTATGTCATTTACATAGATTAGTAGGTGAACATGTTTGGGCGGACTGTTAATTAGTGTTTAAGACAAATTAGCTTTGGCTCTATTTTGATAGGATAATAGTTTAGTTATTTTATTACCTAAAGTCTAACCAAAATGTTATTCGATGAAGAAACAATGTTTCGATCCCGAACCTCGGTAATGTAAACCTTTTTTTATTTTGTGTTGTGTGTTTGTTATTAAGTGGGTAATATTTTCATAATGTAAGTTTAGAACATCTATGAATGTAACGAATGAGTGGATTCCTCTCAATACAGGTTACTTAAACTTAAAGAGAGGAATTCCTCAACTACTTGTAACATTCGTACTAAGTGTCAATAAAATATTTTTCATTTTTTCATTTTCATTAATGTTTGGCTTTACATAATAATACCGCTGGTTGGAAACTACATTTGTCTCGCAAATTATTTACTTGAAAACAGTTTTGTTAGTCGTGGTTCCATGCAAAATATTAATACATATTAACTTATTTACATATCCACTGTATTCCTTTGTTTCATTTCGACAAACTAGTGGAGGTATTATTCAATTTCATGGTATGATTTCGAATAGTTTCGACTTCCACAAAGGACCACGCCCATTAAAATACGTTGTACTTATTTGGGTTCACTTGGAGTTGACAGCTGGTTAGTTAAAATTAATGATAATCCGAAATTGTTGGAAACTACTTATCGGTCTTCAACCTGAGGAATAGTTATGATTTATTATTATTAGTTTGCGACTCTACATTCTACACGATCGTTTAACAAAATGATGTAGATAACAAATGAGTTTTGTTTTTAACTTTTTAAGTAATTTGTGTAATAGTATACAGGGTGTTAGGTAAATGGGTATATGAGCCGACACTAGCCCATGTTAACATGGTCATATAAATGGTATGGTGAAGTCAGAAAATTGATATCTGCTTTTTAATTATTTTAATTTTCATACAAATCGGATTTTATAAAATTTATTTTGTTTGAAAATTAAAAAAAACAAAATGATGATATCAAATTTCTGACTTCACCATACCATTTATATGACCATGTTAACATGGGCTAGTGTCGGCTCATATACCCATTTACCTAACACCCTGTATACCTACCTACATAAAGTTAAATTGACAAACAGAAGGGGTTTGTCACTGTCTCATGGTATAGATAATACTGCTATTCATAAGCAATATCCGTGGTATGATGTAATAACGTTTTTCCATGTGTAGTAAATATTTCAAGGACATACTATTATCATAATACATCCTTCTCGACAGTAAAGATAACAAATAACATCCTAATACAGGAAATTGTATTGTCTTTATGTCACGAATTTTAACAAACGTTTGTGTTTTTTAACAAAGTCACAATTGAAGGGGTGAGTGGACAAAGGTCTTAACTAACAAAATGAGTTATGAATGTTTGAAAATCTTAATCTGCTCATACCACATTTGAATCCTGAAATGTATGTATGCTTGTCAGATAACACCTTTGTTAAGGTTTGACATGTAACAAAATTGCGTGTTTTGAGCTCATTAGTCGATTTTATCATCACTTAAAACCTATGTTCATGCAAAAAAGTCGATTCTTCAGTTTTGTCAGATAACACCTTTGTCCACTCACCCCTTCAATTGATACATACGAGTAGTTGCGTAATCTACGAGTACATTATAAGTAACTAATGCGTGTAATCTATAACTCACTTTTGAGAGAAGGAGCATAACTACTTAGCTTTCCAATTTACCAAGTTACGGCTAAAACTTGTTACTGAAAGTCTGAAGTTTAGCTCTACTAGGCATTTATGTTTATTGCTTTCCACGAAATCAAAAGAAAGAAGCTTTGATATGTAACATATTTACAGCATTATAGTCTATTAGTACATCGCATACGATTCCATGAATTCAAGGCAGGCTTTATACTCGTACAGAAACTCAGGATTCCATTTCAAATAATAATGGAAAAGTTGAAGTATTAATTGACAATTTTGCTAAAAAGAAGAAAAATACATTTCTGCCGAACACAATAAAAAGGTTTTGGTATTGGTTGACTAGAAAACTGACTATAAAACACAAGTAGTAGAATACGAGCATAATTCATCCCGTCTTATCTAACATCACTTAGGATGTTCCTATCAGTGGTAAACTAATTCACTAGCCACATAAGTGCAAAGTTTTGACAAGTTATTAAGTAAACTCGCAAGATCCTTCCTGACTCTGAATTAATCACACAGAGAAATTCAA